TGATTCCGTAAAACATAGAATAGAATGGAACAGCAAACGTGGTCTCACACCAGATTAAGTTCAGCTGCAGATGTTCGTGTCTCTACCACAGTATGTCTCTAGTGACTCTGAACTGAGGCTCGGAGTTGAACTAAATGATGGAGAAATAATTAATTGAAGTGATTAGAAGGAGAAAAATTTTGGGTGATAATTGAAATCCTCAGATTTGAGAAAAACTAGCCAAAGAAATGTCTGAAAACTTGTAAGTTTTAACTTTCTAGCTATGCAAAAGGTGATTAGTAGTAAATGAATAAATTTCCCACCTTAAAAACATAACAAAATTTTCTTCACATTCGATAGAGTTGAACAGATTATGTATGACCTTCAACAGCAATAGATTTCTAAATGAATTTAAGCAATTCATAGATTGATATTATAGTCCATAGATCATCATAATTGAATTCTGATTATTCTATGATAATTTTTATATTTATCATCAGAAAATGATCCATGCGTCTTTCCTATATTCAAGTTACTACTTTTATAATTTTTTTTATGGAGTAATGAATTAATAATTCAGACATCGACATCATCGGAATCATACTCAGAACTTAATAATGAATTGATAAAAAAAATCAATAATTCCACTTATCTGAAAATGTGAAATTAAATAAACAAAGGTCCGCAGATAGAAATAACTGTGGCTCGACTATCATTCATACCCACAGGATCACTCTTAACAGTCGATTTAATTAGAACTTCCTATACTTAATCCTGCATCCTTTGTGACATATGTTATCTAAGCTGTCTTAACTTGCATCCGGCCTAACAGGTAGTGCAGAGACTGGCAGACTCTCATTTTTTAAATATAAATGTTATAAATATTTTAAGAAATGCTTTTAAAATTTTCAAAAAATAATATTGATTTTTTCTCATGGGCTCTCGGATTAAAATACCCAAAAATAATAAAAATGTTTCAAACAACATTTATACCAATATATATTTTGGTAAACTCACAAACTACAGTTCTTTTTCAAGTAATCCATAGTTTCATTGACACTTGTGATAGCCTCCTAAAGGCCTGTACACAGCAGAATGTTCATGAACGAGATTCGCCTAGTGTGGATGCATCTTAAGAGTTCTGATAATTATTGGAATGAACTATATGTCTAAAATAGTTAAAGTAGAGACTGGATTGTCAGGTTATTACATATTTTAGTCGTTTGCGTGTAAAACCTTCAAAACCAACTATCTATCCGTATCATGATCCGTACTATACCATATTGAAATTTGATATTACTCACCATACCACTTTTCTTTTTGGGCTAAATTGCACTTTTTTTACTTTCACTTAGCAACATATATATTATGTAGTAAGGGAAAGTATTACGAACGTGAAAATCTGAGTCCAAGAAACTAAGTCCAACAAAATGGTCTGTGTGTGTGTGTGTGTGTGAACAGTCTAGCTCAAAAATGTCAAGTTGCACAGAACTGAAATTGAATATTTAAGGGTTGTACATGACTGCTATGTTAGAGCAACTTTTTCATTTAAATCAACTAATTGGAAGTGTCACTTTATATAATCGATTTTACATATTTTTACAATTTTCTCGAAAACAGCTCTAACGAACAACGAATTTCATGATAAATTTTTCCTAAAAACACAGAATTATTGCAAAAGCTCTATTTTCACCAAAATCTTAAGTATTATTTGATACTATACGCAGTTGTAAAAGGAAATGAAAAGAGATACAAATGTATAAATTTAACAGATTCAATACGAGGGAAAAACATGGTAATAAATTGTTTAAAATGAAATTATACCATCGTTTTCACTTTCAACAATCAATGTATGAAAATACCTATCTACACCAAATTAGAGATGGACAAAAAGTACTCTTGAGTAAAAAGTACAAATTACATAGTATTATACTTAAATACTCGCACGGTTCGAGAATCAAGTATTTTAATCATTACTCAACATGATGATTGACAAATACAACAACTACTCAGCTGTTGTGAGAATTTTCCACTTTCACATTTACTCAAAATTATTTTACTTTGAGATGGGGAAGCTTGTCATAAAAATATTGTTGGATTTGAGAATGCGCAACCGCACATCAAGTTTTTGTAAATTTTCGGATTTATTCGATATTAGGACCCACTATTATGTTGTCAGGAACGCTTTTTAAGAAAACATTGTACAATTTGAGAATGCGCAACCACATATCAAGTTTTTGTAATTTTTTGGATTTAATAAATATTAGGGTCCACTATTATGTTATGGCAGGAACTTTTTATGAAAACACTGTTGTTAGCTTAAAGCAAATCATGAAAAGCGTTCCCTACAACATAAAAGTGAACCCTAATATCGATTACAAACGAAAAGTTACAAACCTTGATGTGTCGTTGTGCATTCTCAAATCTGACAGTATTTTCATAAAAAGCGCCTGCGATAACTTAATAGCCGACCCTAGTATTGCTTAAATCCAAAAAGTTACAAAAACTTGATGCACAGTTGCACATTCGCATGTGCATATTCGACAGTATTTTCATAAAAAGTAGTCTTGATAATTTAATAGTGGGCCCTAATATCGATTAAATCTGATAAGTTACAAAGATCACAACAACAGGGTAGAGGAATAAATTTTAAGACAAATCCTTGCAGCATATCAAACTTATTTCTTCCTCCAAAAAATTTTAAGAAGCAGTTCTTGTTCAAGGGGTCAAAGGAAAGATCATATATATAACAATCATTCGGCCAGTTCTAACTTCAACTACCAGATGAAATGGCCTTAATTAATTAAATAAGATTGAAAGCCCACAATTACACGCATTGCTGTCCTTGTGATATACGCGAAAACCATTAATCTTAAGGCTAACATTTTTTTTTTTAATTATTTAAAACTATGATGTTAAATCGAGAGAATTTGGCCGCGACTGAGCAGTTTCAGCGACAAAGACAAGCATGAACAGTTGGCAGTATGGAATGGCAGTCGCTGCCGTGAGCATTAATAGCAAAATAGTATCTTTACAAGCTCTCACAATTATCCCAATATACCGTAGCTCTAAAATTTAGAGCAACAGTGTATAACAAAAAGTGTGAAGTAAGTTCCCGTATTTTTTTACTTCCTATTTTTTATAGTTTAAACAGCTAAAATATTTCTAAAAATTATAGTGAACTCTTAAAGTGCGCACACACTAGGTGAATCTTCATTCGAAAATGCATTGGCATCCTGCATTATGAAGGAAGTTAGTAAGCTGTTCTAAATGATAGGTGATAGTCAGGAAGCAGTGATTTTTAAGGTTTTTATTGGTGCCGACATTTCAAACCAAGCATATGGACCTGATGATGACCCACATGCTTGGATGGTTGGTCACGCTCCCTATTCCTATATTCATAGGAATCCATAACAAAAAAATTATTAATTCAGGTAATTAAAAATTGCTTTAAAGTAAACTGGACAAAATTTCCAACAAATACAATAAGAATTTGTCTTAGTCAAAATCATTTAAAGGAGACTTTTCAGCAGCAAAACTATGCTAAGTTGTGTTTTTTGTTTTAATTGATAGTTGAGAAAGATATTTATATGTGTTGTCTAATGCTGATCAAGAAATATTTGTGAAGCACAGGCTACAAAAATATTTATATTTCATATTATTAAACTAGCTTTGTGCAAATAAGATCATTATTTAGTGCGAATCTGAGTACGAATGTCAAATGCGAGAAAATTATGAGACAATAAATAATAAGAAAAGCTCCGATAGAAACTGCAGGCATCATTTATGGTAGGATGGTACAGGTGCTTAGCTACGTGGATGATTTGGATAATGCAGGTAGGTCTTCAGAAGCCTTAAAAAATGCTTCTCTTCACTTAATGGAAGTATGGAGCTAACTATAAATCAAGAAAAACTATTGTAATGTTCTCGTTCCCTCCAAAAGTAAACAACCAGTTTCTTTTTCAAATAACATTTATTTCTCACACAAATATAAATTCTCAGGTTGCGTTCAGACAACTAACACACATCCTCAATTATACAATAAAAAGGCATACATAATTTTATAATACTTATTAATAGATTTCCATTCTATTTGTCGGGGTATATTCTTGGCGAGCTTTCGATCTGTCCATTTATATCTTCTTCACTCACCCTGCGGTGCAGCTACTTCTCTTCTACTGTTGACACTCACTACTTGGGGACCAACATCTTCTCACAGATCCTGGTTCCTAGCCGGCTGGCTACCTTCTGCCATTTTCTTAAGTCCTCTTCACTCGCTGGCCGGTCACCTTCTGCCTTATATATGAGGCTTGCTTCCCTCACATCTTCCTGTCAGTAGCTCGTGATGTCCACACACCATCTTCGCACCAATATTCAAAAACAATGTAATGTTGACATTACAATATATATATAAGAGCTGGCCCAGGAACAGATGATTTTATCATAAAACCTGTCACAATTGGACATGTGGACCAATTTACATATTTGGGCTCAATAGTTGGTTGATCAAATAAAATATCTTTTAAGAGCGGCCAACGAATAATGAAGCCCAATTGCTGCTATTATGACCTCAGAAAGCACCTTAACAGTAAGGCCTTATCTCGTCAAGCCAAGCACCAACTTAATAAAACACTTATACAACTGGTATTAACCTATGCCTCAGAAACGTTGACTCTGACTAGTTCACAGTTTCTTACCTTCAAAAGAAAGATCTTGTGTGGTATTTTAGGGCTCGTTAAGGAAGGGAACCAGTGGAGCAGACGCTATAATAGAGAAATATATAAACTGTTTCGTGAAGTAAATGTTGTTCTTTTTATAAAGTGTGGTCGACTGAGATGTGCAGGCCAGGTAGCAAGAATGAATAAGAAAGAGGAAGGCCTAAGCTGAGCAGTTATGAAGGACGCTTGAACCCTTTTAGGCGTTCGAAATTGGAAAGCAGCTGCACAAGACCTAGCCTAACCACCCACACACCTTATTATACTTTTTTTTTTTTTTAATTTCTAAGTGCTATAGTGGCTTACCTTAACATAGACTATAGAAAACGCAGTAGTCTAGAAATGGATGATATTCAAATAAGAGTTCTTAAGATAATCTAACTAATCAATTCTTTTAATGGCTTCTCATATCGAACCTGAAAATCAACATAAATTAATCAATTAAATTAGTTTTCATTTGAGGTTGAATAAAATATCAAATGTACTAAATAAGAGAATTGTTAATATAATTCAATGAAAAGTTATTTTTTTTTTATTAATGATATTTACAACTGTATTAGTATAAATACATCAAGTAAATGTGTACAGAAGAATATAATCACATAAAAACGCTTGTTGAGAAACTAACCATTGGCAGTACTCTAATAATATGTCTACATAAGGAGATCACGAGGCCATCTTCTTTTCAGACGCCTCGGAGGGTTATCAGGAATCGAAGAGGAAGCAAGGTTAGAAACAAGAGGATTCGGATGGTTATGAAGTTTATTATGGAAGGATAGGTATCTGGATTGGGACAAATCGGAAACATATGGAACATTAAGGTCTTTATAGATTATTTAATTTGTGACGAAGTAAGGAGCATTGAGGATTTTTTTATTTAATTTTAAAAAAAAATTAAACCTGTTTTGAGTATCTAAGGAAATTAAACTAAACAATTTTTAAAAGATTCAAGTAAACAAAATAATACTTAGGTATTAACACAATCAGAATGGAAAGACTTTAAGTGGGAGAATTTCTTCTGTGTTTTCCAAGGGGCATGTAGGTCTGGTCTTCAGGTGAGGCCACGGCTCCTTGGGTTTCCCTATTCACTTCACTCGTACAGCATGTTATGAGGATTTAACAAAAATAACTCTGAACGAATGTTAATTGTACAAAGTAAAAAACAATAAGCTAATCACAAAGATTAACCAAAATATCTACCAGAAGAACTTACTAGAGTAGACTTGCCCATATCCGGACATTCGAATACATACGTAAAAAATAAATAAATATAAACAAGCCAAAACTTAAAACGAGGCATAACTTAAATGTCAGGTTACAATTGGGAAAAAACAAAACAAACATCAAGTATTCATATCAATCATTTTATCAGTTTACCACTACTGGATTGCCAGCCCGGTTTGGTTTATATAGTCTATGGAGATTCTAGGTTCCATTACTCTGAGTGAAATATTTATGAATAAGCTGCTTAAAGAGGTAAATGATATTACTGAAATAAACTTTGATTGCTAATGAAATATGTCGATGATTTTCTGTCGATATTAAATGATAGTAAGATAGGTTTTTCAATGGTCTAAATGATCTTCATGGAAATATCAAATTTACTTCTGAGCTTGAAACAAAACAGAAAATAATATTTTACAACAATACTACTTAACAAGTAAGGCTCTACTTTGATGGATGGACTAAGATCTTATTATCCACTATTAATAGAATGGTTTTGTCACCCTTGTTTACTCTCAGCCATTTATAGTGTGATCATAAGATCTTGCACTACCCATTAACTAGAGTAACACTTATAATGTAGTACCCTTTCCATATTTTAATGGCACATATAACTAAACCATGGATATATACATACATCAGTTAGCTACAACCCATATCGTTTGTTGATTGGCCATTCCAGGGGCAATCAGAGACTAAGGTCTAAAACTAGCTTTGATAATTTTATAATAAATAGTTCAACAAATTACAACAGAACTGCAATAAAATAAAGATACCCTGGTAAGACACTCTTGTAAAGTTAAATTATACATAAAAAATTAAAAGGTTCCTTTTGTTATCAAGTTACACCAAGGACCAAAAGTATTATATGAATTATTCTCAATAAATCTTTAACTTGCATCATAATAAGTTATTAGCCACAAAATTCATGACTAATGTAATGAAAAAATAGTGAGATGTGTGCATTAGATAGTTGAATGGCCTAAAGGATTGCATAATAAACTTAACACATACTATAGTAAATAATAAGAAAAGTATGTTATTAAAACTAACTAGATAATTTGTTCAGAATAATAATATTATAAAACATGAATTGTTAAGTATGCAATCATTGTAAACAATGATCTAATATAAAGATTTGCCCATGAAACTATAAAATACGTTACTTCATAATATTACATACAAACACACAAGAATTAAGTTATTAAAGAATGTCTAATAGGGTACCTTCTAAATAGAGTCTGCTATAAAATTCAAAGCGATATAAAGTTAACATGACCTAGTGCATATTAAGAACAATGGTAAATATACAAGTACTGTTTGTATCCATCTATTGAATCTCAATAATATGAATTCTTAATGATCATCATAAGAAACAATGAAAAGCATTGTTTGTTGTATAAGTAATCTGCAAAACAGTTTCTTTTTAAAAATAAATAAACATCAACTATGAAATACACGACATTTCTAAAAGAAAAATATAGTACTACCTAATCATTAATATGTAAACCAATTGAAACATAAAAATATTAAGCTTTTAAAGAATAGTATATTCTCAAAATTGAATACCATCTGTATCTAAGTTATTAACTAAGAATCACATAAATTCAATTGGTCAATGCACAACAAATAATTGTGTAAAAACAAATATGGCAATAAAAAAAAAATTAAATAACAATAACATCAAAAATTACATTGGATGTGAAAATATATTAAACTTAATAAAATATCAATCCAAACTGAACATAAAATGAATTGTTAAACCAATGTTTCTTATGCGGCAATCATATCTAACAATCATACTAATAAGTATTGTACAAAGACGTTAATGAATAATTATACTTCAAACATATTAGGCAGTTAGTTCATACCGGTGAAAAATTAAAGCAGTCAATACATTAATACAGTAACTGTACATACAATGAATAATTTAAGAAAGTAGCCATAATTAAAATTAATGAATAAAATAAAGTGAAACAATAAAAAATAATAACAATATACAGTACCTACACCTGTAAAAATTCGAAAAGTTCTGTCAAACAAGAAGCTTCCATCTACATGTGACCAGCATTATCTTGAAGATAAGGTATTTCAAATACCTCTTTGCTAAGTTTCAAAGTTAACGATACATAAAGTTGGCAGCCATAAAGCAAGTTAAATAATCACGAACTATAAAAAGTGATACATTTAATTAGTCTTCTTCAAAAAATGATAGTTAAAACAATATTTGGCTAGATTTTTCTCCACATTAAAATAATGTTCATAATTAATATCCACTAGTATTTGTTGGACCATTCATAGTCGAACATCATATGAAAATGATAATTAACACAGAGTATATACAGTTGACAAAAACCTTGTTAGATGTGGGCCACTCATATTATTGGTATTTTCTGCCTCAATTATTAAGGGGGACGGGGACCCAGTGCCGACCTTAAGGCGGCGCAACCAGGGCCATCGCCACGGGGCGCCGGGCGATCTTCAGGGGCTCTAGTCACATAATAGGAATTTTAAAAAAATACAAAACGTCTTAAAACAATTGATTTTAGCCTACCAATAAAGCAACTGTATTAGAGAAATGTTGAATGAAATAAAATTCAAACATTACGTAGTATAAAAGTGCTTAAGAAATAAATTAAATATGTTTAGGGGGAGGTGAAGTTATTGCCCTGGGTTGCCGAATGTCTAAGGCCGGCACTGCGGGGACCGCAATATGTAGTGAAATTTCTCTTAGCTGGTACTTCTATATAACGAATAATTTTATAAACCTCACAAAATTTAAATAATTTTACAGTATTAAGTATTGCTGAATACAAGACGCGCTCTGTAACGGACGTAGATGGAAGTATTTTGATTGATAAGTTTCTCCATAACGGAGAGCAAAGAAGAAAAAGAAAAAACACATTCATTTGAGTTTTTCTCTTTAGTAATTAGTAAATTGAAAAATGAAAAAAATATTGTTGTATGTAACTCATGCCCTACTCTTAATGAAACAAACAGGCTTCATCCAAGATTTTGGTACAGGCCTCAGCCCGGCTTTCTCAAAGAGTATAGGATCAACTTTAGTAGTGTACATGGTGAAAAAGAGATTGAGTTAAGGTACCCCCACCCTCTGCATATCCACCGACACTCCTATCCAAGAGCATTCGCTTCTGTTTCAATGCGATTTATATAACGAGTTGTAGCATAGTATATGGTTATGACAACCGGAAACATGACGAAGAATCTTTTCACCTGTAACATTTTAAAATCAAATATTGGCTATAGAACTTCATACTATCAGGAAGAGAACAAGAGTTGACAAAAGCGACAGGCAGCGGGGAAAAATGGGAATGTTTAACAGAGGAGCCGATGAAACAAACCAAAAATCGGAAAGAATCGGTGGCAAATTTCCGCATGGCAACAGGGCACGATTACCTACAAATACATTAATATAGGATTGGAGTGGTGGAAAATCCTGTGTGCCCTCTTTGCCAACAGAACTAGATGTACTACCTGCACCTCTCAGTTTGCCCCGCTCTGTCAGATGTCCGCAGTACTTCCGATGTGATCGGAACAAATTTAAACAAAGGATTCATGGCGGAGTTGTATTGGGCTGCCAGGAGCCGAATGGCCTAGTAGCCAACGGCAGATGCGTTTAATAAAAAAAAAAATCTATTTGATATGACCACACGGGTTGAAAAAGTAAAAATGGAAATTGCAAGCACATGATTTATGCGTCGACACAATACAAAAGAGTTCACAAAATTACTTTCTCAAGCGCGGTTGGAAATAGTGTAATAGACTACTTTATATACGATCAAGAAATGTGATAATATTTCAGAAAAGATTAAAGTTATTAGGGGAGTGGAGATGGGTACGGACCACATACTACTGGTCATGGATACTGAGATCGAAAGAACGCACAAGGCTCACCTAAAAGTATACCAACCAATAAAAGTGCTTGCCCTAGTCGATCCAGATACGAGAATGCTATATTCTGCAAAATTCGAGGAAAACCTGACAAGTTTGAATTTATTGGGAAATGAAGAGAAACAAAAATTCAAGTAAATTATTCTGAACCTAAAAAACACAAGATTTTTTTAAAATTCAGTTTTGAGATTTTAGTACTTGTTCAATAGCAGGTAGCGTCTGAGTGCTATTTACTAATGTTTATAACCTTAACACTGATAACTCTAATAAGCCACTGATAATATCTTCGTATTTATATTTATTGTATTATATTCATACTTTTATATCTTCGTGTTCATATTTATTGTATTGTATTGATATTATTGAAATTGTAAAACTACAAAATTGTAGAAATACAAAAACAAATGTAATAATAAAAAAATACTTTTATTTTATAAGATATATATTAAATAGACCAAACATTATAGATATATAATTAAAAAGCATTGCAACATATATATATATAAATGAAATAATAAAAACAGACAAAGATAAATGAAATAATAACAAAAAAACACTTAAACAGCATCTGTACATATAAAAGAAACACTATGAAGACTATAAAGAACATATGTACATATAAAAGAAACGATATAAACACTATAAACAAAATATGAACAATTTTATTTTAACTTAATTTCACCCGGGACTGCTGTACAAACTCCGAAAATTCCTACCATCTCCATACTTTCTCATTATAAGTTCCTACCTTACTGATAGATACTTTAAAGTAAATCACAACAATGTCTATACATCCCGTTTTTCCCAGTCTGCAGGTGTTCCTCAAGGTAGTATCCTAGGTCCTATCATTTACACAGTTTATACAGCTGACATCCCAACCCATCCCAACACTGTCATCACCACATATGCTGATGACACATGTATCCTATCAGTTAATAACGACCCATCTATCGCATCCCAAACCCTTCAATCCCACATCATACACCTTGAAGAATGGTGTCAGAACTAGAGAATTAAAATAAATTCCAATAAATCCCATCAAATTACCTTCACCTTTCGTCGTAAACCAATGACTTCCTGTCCTTCAGTATCCTTTAACAACATCTCACTTATTCCTGTTGAACAAATCCGTTACCTAGGACTCCATCTAGACAAACGTCTAACTTGGAATCCTCATACCAGACTGAAACGACAAGAAACAGCTCGACGTTTCCGACTACTTCAACACTTACTAGACAAACGCTCTAACCTTCCAATTAACTATAAAAGACTAATTTACATGACTATTGTTCAATATTGGGGGGCCCGGTACATGCCATATGACCGGGAGCCCTTTTCTTGAGAGATACAAAAATAAATAAATGTTCTAGAGGGGAATACTTGTGAATATATGTGTAAAAGTTTACGTACAGTTTGATGAGGGGGGCCGGTCTCGCGCCTTCTCTCTCTCTCTCTCTCCGCCGTTCCGGTCCAGAAATTAGCCGAAGGGCTGTAGTTCTCGAGGTCTGGTCAGGAGGTGGTCGTCAGCAGTCCTTTTTACCTTCTTCGCTCGCTAGCATCTGTCCTTTGGCCGCAGATAAGGCCGTCTTAGAGAGGGGGTAGTGCAAGTTGAGACCGGGGGTCCCCCGTGTTGTTTATACAACGATAATTCAAAATGTTCTATACAATAAATTTTTGGATGTAAATCCAACAACTATAATAAGGCCTATTTGGACTTACGGAGTTGAGCTATGGGGCTCCACCAAACCTTCAAATTCTTCACGCATCCAATCCTTACTATCCAAAATCCTTCGTAAAATCCTCAATGCGCCTTACTATGTTACAAATAAAATCATCCATAATGACCTTAATGTTCCTTATGTATCAGATTTGGCCCAATCCAGATATCTGTCCTTCCATAATAAACTTCATAACCATCCCAACCCTCTTGTTTCTAACCTTGCTTCCTATTCAATTCCTGATAATCCTCCGAGGCGTCTGAAAAGAAGATGGCCACGTGATCTCCTAATATAGACATATTAGAGTGCTACCAATGGGTAGTTTCTCAACATGTGTTTCATGTTATTATATCCATGTGCGAATTTACCAGATGTATTTTTTGTTTACAGTTGTAAATATCATATAAATAAATAAATAAAAATAACTTAATTTATTTTAGTAGGGAAAATAGTTTTATGGTATTTAAAATAGCGGAGGAAAGGATCCTGTTCTCTGTGAACACGCCGCCACAAAAACTCACCTAAATATGAATCGAGGTGTTGTCTGGCAGTTCCGCTATGTTTTTTATTTCTCAATTTAGCTGAGCCCCATAACATTTCTATGTGTTGAGTATGGACCCCACTTGATGGATCAACAAAATTATAGCTGTAATTCACCTGGAAATGATTATACTTTGCTTCATTGAGTTGTTTGGTGTTGTATCCTTTCCAACAGTCGGAATAAATAGTGCTTCCCTCTTGTACATTGTTTTTAATAGCTTCTAATAAAGTTTTTCCTTTTCCGTCCTTTATTTTGACGTTAAAACATTCGTCTGTTTCTCGGCAAACTCCATCAAACATCCATTGCTCAGGTAGGACTCTCCCTACATAATTTCTTCTAATAGAAAAAAAACTCGTCTATTTCAACGACTTTGACAGGCCCTCAATTTTTTTTACTTGACCTGCATAACATGTTATGGGCACAATCCTCTCTTAGAAATTTGTTAGACGTTATGATAGTTGCCTGGGATAGTTTGAGCTGCTCTTTCCCCCACTGTATTGTTGTTAAATTATGGGACCACTCATAAATGAATTTTAAAGCCGTTAAAAAAGAAATCTTCGACCCCTCTAACCACGTTCATTTCCTTATAGAAACGGTTTTGTTACAACTACGAAAACATCTCCATTTAATCTCCCCGTCGAACTTCATTTGATGACCTTCATCACAATATTTCACCTTTACAAATATCCCGGCGTCTTGAAAATATTTGATAGCCTCTTCTTCTAAAGACGGAAACAGCTTACACAAGGAACGAAAAATAAACAAGGGAATAACTTAGGTTAGAGGAGATAAGCGAGATTATGTGAAATAAGGTTAGATGACAAGGGAGGTTTTGACGCTACCCGCTATTGAACTGGTACCGAAATTATCATCCTACTTAAAGGAATCAATGAAGATGAGTGACGACTGATGTTACAGGAGGCATTGACACCACGGGAATCGTAGCGCTAAAAATGATGATGATTATCATCATTTTATTCAATTAATTCGCCAGTTTACACCAATTATGCATGTTGGATTGTAGTATAAGACTGTAACCTCTATTTATAAATTATAATATAATCGATTACACATGTTAGTTAGATAAAGACAAGACAGATGGTATATTTTGTAATAAATAATAAAGCACACCTACGTTTGTTCTAAAGGTATTTTTATTAATTAATTATACATATTACATGGTGTCAGGTGAAATACCAACAAATTGAAAATGAATAATTCTAATTTGCGGCTGCAATCTCTTCAATTTGACAAGAATATTGCAACGAAGTGACCGGAAGACGTAGACTTTTCTCAGGTGGTTCATGCCATTACGCTAGAAGAATTGTTGCCGGTGCCATCAGAGGATATAAAAATCTTGCAAGAAGCCACCAGGGATGATTTCAGTGAACTTAGAAATTGTATCAGGAATGCTTGGGAAGGAGTTCATAAAAAGTGTTTGGAACGTGAAATAAAGGTTTTTTATGGGCTCCGAGACGAACTTTCAGAAAATAAAGGAATTTTATTTTATAATGATAGAATTATTATACCACCGAGTCTCCGACGTCACTTCGTAAGCCAAATTCATTCTAAAGCTCATCTTGGAATAAACAAAACCGTTTCCCGTATTAAGAGCCTTATGTATTGGCCAAACATGTCCGAATACATTACAAACTTCATAAATTCATGTTCCACGTGTCAAACCTTCCAAAACAATAAACCTAAAGAACCTCTTATAACATCTGAAATTCCTAAATTTCCGTTTCAAGTTATTGGTATGGACATAGGCGAGTGTAATTCGAAAATTTTTCTGGCTGTAGAAGATTACTACTCAAGATGGTTGGATATTATACCGCTCAAGAATAAAACATCCACTGAAATTATCAAAAAACTAAAAATTCTTTTTAGTAATCATGGCACGCCTGAAATTGTACGTTGTGATAACAACCCGTTCAGTAGTGCAGAAATGGCAGCTTTTGCCAAACATTGGGGATTTAAAATTTGTACATCTAGTCCTCACTACCCTAGATCTAATGGTCTCTCGGAGAAAGGGATAGGTGTCGCGAAGAAAATGATAAAGAAAGTCTCTTATTCAGGAGGAGACATTTATGAAGCCATTCTAGAATACCGAACAACTCCCCTTTCTGGGCTCGAGTATTCTCCAAGCCAACTGTTGATGGGTCGAAGACTGCGAACCAGGGCGCCAGCAAGCATTGATCTTCTTATTCCCAAAATACCAGACGATGATGTGCGCCAAAGAATGGAGCTTCTAAAATTCAAAAGTAAAAAATATTATGACTCAACTTCTCGTCAATCAGAGGAGTTCAAGATGGGACAACCAGTTTATGTTAAATGGAAGGATCGATGGAAAGAAGGATCTATTACAAAGGTTCTCCCTGAACCAAGATCATACTTGGTCAGAGACCAATATGACAACGAATATAGAAGAAACTCATCCCACTTAAGACGCCTCACCACACCTAACACTGATCCTCTACTCAACCCAACTGATTCTGATTCTGATCCTCTACTCCAACCCTCTAATGCTTTATTTCAGGAGGAACAGAGACAGTCTCCGCGTCACCCGCAGAATGGTTCTTCCCTGCTGTTACCAGGACTGTCAATTTCCAATGATCAAGCTCAGCAAGCATCTCCAACTAGTGAAGGTATGCGCACCAGATCGGGCCGCCTGGTGAAGCCACCGAAAAGACTTTGTGAGGATTAAGGGAAGGGTGTAGTATAAGACTGTAACCTCTATTTATAAATTATAATATAATCGATTACACATGTTAATTAGATAAAGACAAGACAGATGGTATATTTTGTAATAAATAATAAAGCACACCTACGTTTGTTCTAAAGGTATTTTTATTAATTAATTATACATATTAGGATTATGTTTCGTTATTGAGCACGTTTGATACTTGAAATATTTTTCTTTGGATAGTTCTTACATTAAAATGAACGGCCCGTTCGAGAATTGCACACAACCAAATGCGAAGATTAATTGTTTGGGAATTGAGGTTTGAATTTTACCTGAAACCTTTAATGAAATTCTCTGTTATACATTTTCTTTTTTCCCTTTAAATTGCAACAATAAAACACTTCCATGTCAGATAATATATTTTCATCGAATCTACGTTACAATGTTGGTTGGTATAAGGAAAATGTTATGATTCCAAAATGGAATCACAAAATGAATGGAAATGTTATTTAAAGACAAAAAGATTGAGTAGAAACATTGTGAATAAACTTATCAGAAGAGAGGCATTTGGTATTAAACCATGTACCAATGTGTATTATACTAGAAATTTGTTGCAAAGTATTGTTCCCAACTTTACCATTATTAATGTGGAAAAACCACCATGTTTTTTGAGAAAATTTAGTCCAGATGGTCGTTATTTTTTAGCTTTTTCAGCTGATCAAACTTCAGTAGAAATTTATACCTTTAATGGCTCTTGTGCTGGTGGCTCATTATTACAAGGATATAGAGGTGATTATGTTGGGAACAAAAATGACAATGGAAGTGAATACATTAGGTCAGTGTCATTTTCCACGTACTTTAAAACAAAATGTGTAGTAAATATTACTCACAGTGGTGAGCAGTTAAACCGTGAGTGTAGTCTTTTTACTGATGATGGAAGGTATGTTATTGTTGGTTCTGCGCAATATATTACAGATGATTTAAGACCTAGTTTTTATGAAATATTTAGCAACAATGAAGCTACAACTCCGAATCCACGTTCACCACTCGAAGACTACAGCCTTCATATCGTTGACCTTCAACAAGGTAAACTCTGTGACACTATTGAGTTTAAGGTAGACAAGATATATTTGTCTCATAATCAAGGATTATATTTATATAAAGAAACTTTAGCTGTTTTGTCAGTTCAACATCAAGCTATACATGTTTTTCACATAATCGATGGTACCTTCATATCTATCAGGAGCATTGGGCGGTTTTGTTATGATGATGATCATTATTTATTATCCAATGTTTATTCCCAAACTACACATGTAACATTTCCTCATCGAGCATTTAGAGAGACAGCTATAAATTCTTTAAAGCATCGTCTTCTGGTTTATTTGTTTAAACAAGCTTTATGTTTAAGCAATGGCTCAGGAAGTCCTGATCCAATTAGACGATTTTACCTCAATTTTGAACAGGTATTTTTATTTCACTATCTGTTGTTATTATTAAGTAATTAATGATTATATTTACCATAGTATTAAGTGATTTAGTACTAGGTCAGAAGTTTCGCTCCAACATGGCAGCTGAGCTAAGATCATATCGAGCACCTTACGGATGTAATTTTTAAAAGTATTTGATGATAAACTAAAAATGATACATCTCCAATGACAAGGACTCCTTGATAAGCTCCAAACTTCAACTGAAAAGGGCCTGTTGGCTGTTTGTTTCTTCAGTGAGAGTATTGAGTAGAAGTAATTAAAGAGAAGATGCTCTAGGAAGTTGATAGAAAACAAAATAAAATATGTTTATTGTTAATTTACCACAATTTAATCATATTTCTGATCATATCCTTGAATTACCATATTAACAATCAACTCAATAAAACTTGTATAATTTTAATAAGTACTAATAATTTAATTTACCCTTACATTGTGTTAAAGAGAAAACACACCCAGTTCTTGATATTTTGCTGCTTTTTAAATTGCATTTAGAGTGTGATCTTTTGCCCAATTGCCATTTTGAAGTGACACTTAAATAAGAACTCATTAAGTTAACCTACAAAATAATATAATTTCCATTAAATTTTGTTATGCCATATATTTATCTACTAAATTACCTACTTATTTGTGTTTTTTGTTTTCTCCAAAAATGTTTAATTTAATGATATCTTAATTTTTAATAATAGGTTATTATAGAAATTACTTTCTCTTTTTTTGAACGCCTCTTGACTTGTTTGACTTCCGCCCATTAGTCTTCTAGCTGCATTGGGGCTGTTCCAGGCCATAGCTGTGATCGTTTGGTTCTCTTATATAGATATCGAAAGAGATTGTGATTTATAATAACCGGACGTATTCACAAATCACTCCCTTTTCATCAGGATGGTTGGCAACCTTTTGCAGACATCTTGTTGTTTTTTTATAGGATAGGATTATTAGTCCTGTGCCCAACCCCCAGTCTCAAGGACCAAGGAGCTATGTTGTTAGACACAGGGGCTGCACACCTTCTTGTGAATCTGAGGGTGGGGACGTTATTGTTCCCATGCGGGAATCGAATCCGCGTCATAATGGTTTAAGCAATCAAGTAAGGATTGCACTTATTTACTTTTCCTCAATCCAATATACTGCTCATAAATCAATAGGGATGTTTCAATTTGATGCTTATTTTATTCAGTTTAATTAAAATATCCTTTTTTTGTTTTTTTTCGTTAGTAATTCTCTTATTTATTGGTAAACATAAAAAGTACAAGAATTCTCATTATGTAAACCAACTGTTGTTTTAGACTTTTCTGAATTTTAATCCAATAATATTCAGTTAAACAATGGATAAACATCATCTTAAACCAGAAATTCGCAATATTATCGTGACAATGAGCGGCCATGGACACTGACAAGTGGATATCGTTTGTGCTTCCTTCAATGCAGTTTAGAGATGCAATCTACTCAGGAGGGTGGACTCTACTCCATATTGCGGAAGGTAATCTCATTCCTACGTATAGTACATTCCTTAAATGAGGGCCATAATTGGCACAGGCTTCCATTTTCCTGATGACAATACATGACGTCATAGGAGAAAAGTTGTTTATCAATGTCTTGAAAATCTGGATATTTCACATCTGACCCTTCCCATATTGTTTCCAAATCTCAATCTCATTGAGCACATGGATGCACTGCAGAGAAGACTTTTCGACCACCATATGCAGCATCTTAATCTTCAGCAACTGAAAGCATTATTACCATCAGTGGCATCAGAAATCAGTGGCAACATAATAAACTGTATGCTCAATAGATGCAGAGAGGTAGTGCGTGACAGAGAATGTTTTGGCAACTTTCCAATTTCATTAAAGTAAAGGCAAATAACTCCAATCAAAATCTTTAGAGCAATCTTTGAGAAAGTTGTAAAAATGTGTAAAATCAATGATATAAACTGGCACTTCTGGTTAGCTGATTAACTGAAAAAGTTGTTGTAATATTCCAAACATGTTCAAACTTTAAATACTTAATTTCAGTTCTGTACGACTTTTCGTTTTTCAGTTTTTGAGACTGTTCACACACACAGACCATTTTGCGGGACTTGGTTTCTTGGACTCACAGGACCTCAAAATATGTATTCCGTTATAAATTCAGATTCGAAAATTTTCACGATCGTAATACTTTCCCTTACTATCTATTATATATGTTGGTATGTGAAAGTAAAAAAAAGTCTGGAATTTAGCCCGAAAAGAAAAGTGGTATGATGATTAATATTAAATTCCAATATGTTATTCTACTGATCGTGAAAAAGATAGATAGTTGGCTTTGTAGGTTTCACATGCAAGCTACTAAAATGTGAAATAACATGAAAATCCAGCTCTACTTGTAACTATTTGTTATCTATTTTAGACATATAGTTCATTCCAATAGTTATTAGAACTCTTAAGGTGCTTCCTCATTAGGGGAATCTCGTTCATGAACGTTCTGCTGTGTACGGGCCTTTAGGAGACTATCACAACTTTCAATGAAACTATGGATTACTTGAAAAAGAAGTGTAGTTTGTGAGTTTGCCAAAATAAATATTGATATAAATTTTGTTTGAAGTATTTTTATAGTTTTGAGCATTTTAGTCCAACAACCTGAGAGAAAAAAATCAACATTATTTGATTAAAACTTTAAAAGCATTTCTTTGAACATTTATATTAAAGAAATGAGAGTCTGCCAGTCGGATCTTGCTGCCTGTTAGGCCGGGCGCAAGTTGAGAAGCAGCTTGGTAAATGGATGTCACAAAGGATGCAGGTATGAGCGAAAGTTGAGCCTCAGTTCTTCCTAATTGTGGACTCTTGTATATTTAATTTCACATTTTCAAATAGGTGGAATTATTGATTTTTTGTATTGATTCATTACTAAGTCCTGGGTATGATTCCGATGATGTCGAAGACAGAATTATTAATTCATTACTTCATAAAAAAAACAGTTTACTTGAATATGCGAAAGACCCTTGGAGAATTTTCTGATGATAAGTACAAAAATCATCATAGAGTTACCAGAAGTTCCGGTTAGCTGATTTTGATATAAAATTTGCTGTAAAATCCCAGGTATATACAAACCTTAAATATGAATTTTGAGTTGTGTACGACTTTTTGTTTTTGAGCTAGACTGTTCACATACATACTCGTACACGGACACACACAGAGACCATTTGACGGGACTTGGTTATTTGGACTCAGAGATTCTCAAAACTTAATTTCCGTTGAAAACTAAGATTAAAAAATTTTCACGATTGCAATACTTTCCCTTACTATATATTACATATATAGGTAAGTGAAAGTAAAAAAGTATATTTCGCAATAATTCAACTGAAGAGGACTAAAGATCCCAGCTATCAAAAGTGGTAGGCTTATTGTATGTCATGCAGGCACAAAGGATGGCTTACCAGGATGCAAATGGATGTTCAAGTCAAAAAAGACTGATGGCGTCTACAATGCTGAAATGAATAGAGCATCGTTTCCGAATAGTTTACTAACAATTTACTGCATATTTTTATCCATTGATTCCTTTAAATCTGCGACTTTACTTGGATCTTTTAGTGTCTCCCAATTCCACTGTTTCCTATTGTTATGTTTTGCAAGTTTGACTTTTGTAAGTCGCTCTCTAAGTTTGATTCTAACCATATAATGGTCAGTATCACAATCAGGACCATGTGCAGATTTAACATCTGGAGGAGCTATGTCTTTTAAAAATTAGGACATGATCTATTTGAGTTCTTGTGCCTTCCAAGTCCCTTTATAGATTTTCTTATGAGGGAAGTATGTATTCTTTATTACCATATTATTTGATTCTGCAAAGTGGCATAGAAATTCACCATTTTTATTTGTCACATTATGAAGGGAATGAGGCAACCGGCAACAGTTTGAATAAAATCCTCTTTTCCAATTTGGGCATTCAAATCTCCCATTACTATTTTGGTATCATACATTGGGCTATTCTGGTAAGTTCTTTTAAGTTTTTGGTATAATTGGATCTTTTCATCATCATTACTATCTTCTGTGGGGGCTTATGCAGATATAACAATGATATTTCTAAATTTGTCTTGAAGTCAAATTTAACACATTCTATCGCTAATAGGCTCAAGTAGCAGAAGGGTATTTCTTAATCTCTTTGAAATTAGAAATGCCGTCCAATTTCTGCCGGTTCTTTTTTCTTCTCCACTTTACAATCAGGCAATTTTTACAATTTTTTGTCTGTCCTTCCTTGGCCGCTCCATCTAATTTCCTGTAGAGCTACTATGTCTACTTTGAATTTTATAATTTGTTCTGCCTCTTCTGCCATTTTCCCTGGCTATAGCAATGTTCGTACATTCCATGTAGCAATTTTTAAGTCCATATCCAATTTCCGTTTTCCATCCAGTTTATTATTGTTAGCCCTGCACTCAACCCCCAACCTAGAAGGGCCAGATCATTTAGCTTAGAGGTTTCCTTCCTCGAGCCTGGTTGCTTCCACTACAGTCTAGAGTTCAGACCACCCTTTGCTTTTCTGTTGGATTTTCCCTTTGAGCCTTTGAGTTTCTCCACCCATATCGTACAAGGCAGTATGAAGTAGTGCTTATTTGATGGCGGCACCAACTCGCCATGTTACAGCATCGTCTCCGGGTTATGCAGTATTTAATGTGAGAGGCCCTGCAAGGGACATCCACCTACCCCTGTTGATGCTGCCACCTCTGGTCCGGAACTTATTTGGTTTATCCTTTATTCGCAGCTGACCTGTATATCTAAAGGTCAGTCCATTATCCGCCACCTGTGGACCCACTCAGTAGCCGAGGTAAGCCCAGGGAATCTGTGAATACTGAAAACACAAAAAACTATATAAAAAACACTCATACCCAAAAATTCTATGCAACTTAATTTATGGATGGTTACGGATAAGTTAATGGAACATGATAAACAATGTAATATTTATCAATAACTGATCATTAATTAACTTTATGATTGATATAATAAAATTTAAGGAGCTAAAAGAAGTGCCTCTAACAGCAACAAGGCTTCCTGTATATTGCTTTAATTTGAGTGAAGGGGGATTATAGTTAATGTTAAGTGGCTTTAAATCTCATGGGAAGTTTATCTGACAGGTTGCTAATTTTAAACAAGATTTTTAAAATATTACTTTTTTTAAATTTATGAAAATAATTCAATTGTTGTATTCCTTGTAATTGAGAAACTTATTTCTGCTGTCAATTAATGATTTATTATATTCTACATCAAATTTGGCAGAGGTATCAAAAAATAACTAATATTAATAATTCAATATGACATGACCATGAACATTTGTCAAAACGTCAGACATCTGTCTTGCACTGCCCAATTTGTTGAACAAAGATTTGACCATAACAGAGCTTATATTTGCTTAGTGAAAACTAAAAATTAACTAGATATTAATTATGCAACCACCTAATTTAATTTATCAAATCTTATTTATGGTATATGCTCTTCCTCAAAGATTTTGGTCAAACAATCACATGTTGGTGAGATAGTTATTTGTGATATATTTTCGAAAACACTGCTTGCTTGATAATAATTAGTCATTTAAAAATCACATTAGCATAAATTATTTTAAAAAAAAAATGTTCCTTTTACTACAGAGTTACATTTTTCAGCAAGTCAATTCTTAAAGGACTTGTGATAAATATCTGTAATATATATATAATAATTGCTAAAATGGCCTAATTTTGATTCCAAAACATCTATCCATTAATAAGTTCTTTCTTTCATAGAATCAATATTAATTATTAATTAGCATCCTAAAATTATCTTTACTCATTTCCTTGTCAAACAAAACATTAAATGATTATCGACTTATTGAAGTTTATATAATTTGAAAAAAGCAGGAACTGAAATGAAATTTAAAATTTATTTGTAATTAGTTTTGGTATGACTGGAATGTTTATTTTCAATTTTTTTCTGTTATCTTAGAGCTAAAATTTTTCCTTTTGCAACTATTCAAGTAAAAGTTTTACAAAAATTTTATTTTTTTTTAAACTTGTATTAAAATTTTTTTAAAAAAGTTCTATTAATTACACCTTAAAAAAATAATTTAACTCTTTGCTACTCAAATAAACGAAATATTAGAAACAAATAATTCATTTAAGATAAATTACAACTCTAATCTAAGCTGAAATACTGTTTATTTACCATTTAAAGTAATTTTTTTTTAAGAAGTTAAATTAATAAAGGTTAAACTTTTACCATAAACATAGACTTTTATTACAGTTAAAGTTCCTTAGAACTTATATTTTGAGAACTCATTTCTCTAAAAAGTTTCATAGCAACTGTTTAAGTGAAACTTTTTTAAAAAGTGCTATGAAAGTTTCAACCCCTCGAAAAAAGTATGAAAAAATAGTTTTTCTGAAAGTATAATTTTAAAAACCTGTTTACAGTGGATTTTCAAATTGTATGTATTATGTAATATGTTTTAGATAAAACAGCTTAGGATATGGAAGATGCAGCTTCTTGATGAATTTCATCTGCTTATAAAATATGCTTCAGAAGAAGTTGTTACATTTAAAGCATCAGAACCGAATTCTCAGCCTTCTTTTTTTGTATTTTACAATATGATCACAACTCAAGTATGTTTTTCCATTTTATTAATTTTTACATTAAGCCTCAATACAATGAGAAAATTATTGGAGTAATATAACTCTCTTTTAACTGTTACTTAACTAAAACTTTTTGTGTTAGTTTAACTAAAAATCCTTTGTTTTTCATTAAATTCATGAGAAATTTGTATTCCTTATTTAAATACGTATATGTTTATTTATTTTACTGAAAATATCTAGGTTCAGGCAATAAATAAATGATTATATTTTAGCGACACAATACCAACAATGCCTATTCATCCCTTTCTCAGTCTGCTGGTGTTCCTTGGTTCTATACTCTAGATGCAGCTCAACCCATCATATCACAGTCAACACCACCTGTACCAATGTGTCCTAACAGTTAATAATGATCCATTAATTATAACCGAAATTCTTCAATCACACTAACAAACCTTGAAGAAAAATATTAGAACTGGAGGGTTAAAATAAATTCCAAGTAATAAAACCTATGGCTTCTTGTCCTACAGTATCCTTCACTCAGTAATACTCCACTTTTCCCTGTTGAACAGATCTGCTACCCAGAACTCCACCTAGATATGTCTTACTTGGAATCATACAAAACTAAAACAACAAGAAACTGCTAGTTATTTCCTGCTACTTCAGCACTTACTACACCAGGAGTGTCCAAACTATGGCCCCCCTCCGCTATGTTCCGCAGGCCATGGCTTGTTATAAAAAACAAAGCTTGTATAAATGGCAGTTGAGTTGTGTAAAGCTTCCTAAGACAGCTTAGCTTAAATAATTTACTAAAGCTTCAGTGATTTACTAAATTTCATATTTTTTAAACTTTAACATGTAACTAAAAAAACTTTCACGGACCGGTTTTGTGTGTGCTAGTGGGCCAAAGTTTGGGGACTCCTGTACTAGGCAAATGCTCTAAGCTTCCAATTAACTACAAAACACTCATTAACAGAACTACAATATGACCTATTTGGACTTGCAGGTTGAGTTTTGGGGGAAAACCGTTGTGTTCTTCTTTAGTTCTTACAGTCCTAAATCCTTAATTTTTCTTATTTCGTCACTACTAAAAAATAAATGACTTCTACCACTACCACCCATGAAGGGTCTTGAGTTCAGTACTTCGTAAGAAAGTTCTGTTTCTTGGTCAACAGTTGTACAAGGTGATTTGACTGAGATCACTCTCAGGTTTTATCCCTTAATTAATTATTTTATCAAGGGTACCCATTTTATAGAAACTGGGTGTGTACCCCAGGAGGTTAATCCACAGCCAACAAAACAGAATAAATAATTTATCTGCCAACAGTTAGACTCAAACCTAGGACCTTGTACATTAGATGTCAGCACCCTATCGCTGAGCTACCCACTCCCACCTGTCATTAATAAAACCATCCATAAAGACCCAAATGTTCCATATATTGCCAATTTGGTCCAAACGAAATTCCTCTCCTTTCATAATAAACTTCAGAACCATCTGAGCCCAATTGTTTCTAACCTTGCTTCTTCTTGAGGCATCTGAAAAATAAGATGGTTTCGGGACCTCCTAATGTAGAACTTTCAATGGCTGGTTTCTCTGCAAGTCTTTACATGTCATGTATTTTTATTTTAACATAGTTGTAAATTTTGTGAATATAAAAAGAAGTTCATTTCATGTGTTGTTCTTGATACTATTATTATCTCATCTGGGCTCACAGTTTCTCTGGGCATCGAGTAAATACTTGACCAGATCTCATCATGTGAAATAAAACCTCATTCTGTAATAAGAGTAGCTATTCAATGTTTAATATAACATTCTATGAACTTACTTGACAAGTTGACGATGGAAACGCTGTAACAGCAAGTAGAAAGTATCAAAAACAAAATTATGTAAAATGCTTATATTGTGTGCTGTTTAAATTAGTTTTGAAGAAAAATTTAATTAAATGTAATTTCTATTATATTCAGATTCCTCTTAAATGTTATAGGTTTTGGCAGTTTTTGAAAATACTTCTGAAGAAATGTTATATCTTTTGGAAAATTTTTGTGATTATTTTCGAAATGCACGATTACAAAGTGGCTCTCTCTTCTTATGTTCACCTTCAAATAATCTATATGCAAGGTAGTTTCATTAATTATTTTTTTATCATACCTCTATATATAATCTCAAAATAAAATGATAACCAACTCAGATTCATGAAAGTATCTTTTCTGTTTTATACAGTACACCTAGTCCTGTCCTAAATATTGTTACAAGAAATATATACAGATTTAAACAGAAAAATTAATATTATTAAAAAATTAATTAGAAAATAAAATGTATATCTATAGAGAGCAAAAAAGAAAAAAAAAAAAAGAAATTATTCAAAATGTCTCCCTTTTGACTTGACACAGGCATTTAATCTCTGTGGCCAGTCATCAATAGCAGCACCCAGCACTTCTTGAGGAAAGTGTTCAACTGCTTGGACCAGAGATTGTTTGAGGCTTTTCAAGTTAAGGTGTGCTCTGTGGCATGCCATCCTCTCCAGTTCAAGCCTTAGCCGATATTCTAGTGGGTTGAGATCAGGGCTTCCTGAGTGCCAATCCGAGGCAGAGATGAACTCTGGAATGTTGTTTTGCAGCCACTGCTGAGTTGATCTGGCCTTGTGAGCTGGAGCGGAATCCTGCTGGAAAACCCAATGACTTCCAGTAAACAGATTATCATTTAGAGGCTTGAGAAAAGGTTCCAAAATATCGCCCTGATAATTTTTTGCTGCTGTTTTAACTCCTTTTTCACAAAAATGGAGCTTTGTGGTGCCATCAAAGCAAACTCCCCACCAAACCATCACTGAGGAAGCGAAACCCACCTCTTTTCACTCTTCCAATGACTTCGTGGGCTTCTTTAGAGCTGTGTGAGTACACACGATCATTTTGGCAATTCAATTTTTCTTCAATTGTAAAAATTTTCTCATCGCTAAACAAAATCTTTCGATGAAGACCATAGGTGTAACGTCCAAGGAGCACTTTGCATCTATCCACTCTAATTTTTTTTAAGGTAGTGGTTAGCCTTTGTCCTCTCATTCTTCATAATGCACCCATCCTAAAGTCACTATTTATTATGCGAGACATTAATATGACAGAGATTCCCATTTACCGAGACATGATTTGTGGTTTTTAAATTGAATTCTTCTGATTCGAGCAGAGACTGCTCTCACTGCATTTGCTGTTCTCACAGTGCGGGGACAGCCCGGTCGACGTTTGTCATATACAGATAGGGTCTCATTATATCTATTTATAATAATAATAATAATACTTTATTTATTCTGGGACGAGTCCCTTTAGAATAATACAGCAAGACAGAAATGTGGGCTAAGGAGCCTCAGAGATACATAAATAAAAATACAGAGTGATTAAATAGTCTTAGTGAAAAAAAAAGAAGAAATATATATATATTTAAGTTACTTTCTAATTTTGATCAGTTAATAATAAAAAAAATTGATAAAAAAATTGGAGTAAAAATAATGAAGAACGAACTAATAATTTATTTAGATATTTACAGTATTATCTATTTTCAATTTTATGGGGACTGGATGGATAAGCTAGGAACAGATGGGATTTAAAGGTAGGAAGGGTATTGGATTGATGGATGTGGGAAGGGATGGAGTTCCATAGGGATGAGGATCGGATAATGAACGATTTGTCGAAAGCAGCGGTTCGTTGGGCCCTTATGTATAAATCAAAAGACCAGAAACGAGTATTGCGGGAACGAACAGAGGATTTGAATTGAAGGAGCTCGGAAATGTAGGAGGGACGGTGGGATTGGATGACTTGAAAGAGGAAGGAAATACTTATGACGGTAGGAAGGATAAAGCCACTTTAACTCTACATAGAAATGGGAAACAGAGGCGTCCCTTGGGATCCTGAAGATGAATCGTACAAAGCAATTTATCAAACGTTTTAGTTTCGTCTCAAGATCCCCAGAGACGCTCATATACCGTACAGCAATAGTCAAAGTGGGGAAAAATTAAGGAAGTGACCAGGAGCCTACGGGTTTCCAATGGAAATAGGTGACGGAAATAATTTAGACTTTTAGGGTGGAAATGGTATGGCGGGAAATATTGGATATATGGTTTTTCCATGAAATCGTTTGATCAATGGTTATTCCAACATTTTTGATGGTGGGGTAAAATTTGATAGGATTATTTTGTAGGAACGATTATAGTACAGCACACAAATATACGGCTGATACTCTAAGGTTTCAAAGTGTTGAATATCTCTGACCTACATTTTCCAACTTTGTGTAAGGCGATCACAGCAATCCAGTTTTCTTTATCACTCCACTCCATGTTAACTGAGTGAAAGAACAATATAAACTAATTGGGATTATTATCCTGGCATGTAAAGAAAATAACCTGATTGAGGTAAGAATTATCTAAATAATGTCCGAGGAGTTCAATTTTTATAACTGTATTTAACGCAGAACTAGGCATTTGCCGTTTGGCCTATTGATATGAAATCATGTCCCAAGGAAATTGTGGCAAATATTCTTTTGATTTCTGCACCTATATCATTCATTTACTATTTTTTTTTTTTTTTCATTAGAGCTATTAAGCTCTGATAATACAAGCTATAAAGTTTTATTGAATATTTAATAGTTGACCGTTGCATTATAAAGGAAGGAGATGGTCCGGGGTTGCGGTCATAAAAAGGCTAAATAGTGGTAAAACTATTTTATTGAAAGCCAACGTTTCGACCCGACTTTGCAGGTCTTCATCAGGGCTAGAACGGACAAGATACAAAAAGATAGAGAATTACATAATATTTAGACATAATTTATAAACAATGTGAACAAGCTTATTAGAATTATAAACAGTAAGTACAATAAAATATGGACTAAGTAAGCTGAGTAACAAGATCCTAAACTAAAGTAAATAGATGCTAACAATTGTTGTAGTGTAATATATAATAAATGAAAATGTGAGTATAATTCTACAAAATATACAGGAGAAAAATAAAATTAGAGACTTACAGGTGTGTTCATCTAGGAGTTTCACTTAGAACTGGAAAGGCAGCGGTAAGGATTGCAGGTATAGGGGAAGTTAACATGTGTTAACTAAATAAACATTGAAAAACCCAGAAAATTACAGTATCTAGGAATTTTTGAAGATATGGATGTATACAATGGAAAAATGCTATATCTATGAAATATTAAATTATAAATATACATATAAAATAGAGTTGAGAGATGTGAGAGGTATTTCATGATTCTAGATCAGAGTACAATGTGAATAAACCCAAAATTGGCAAAAGTAAAATATAAATATAGAAATAACTTCATTAACATACATACATTGCAGAGCTAACTTAAAAGTATAGAGAGGGAAAAAAAATTAATACTTGGTACAATTTTGGGTTTATTCACATTGTACTCTGATCTAGAATCATGAAATACCTCTCACATCTCTCAACTCTATTTTATATGTATATTTATATATTTATAATTTAATATTTCATAGATATAGTATTTTTCCATTGTATACATCCATATCTTCAAAAATTCCTAGATACTGTAATTTCCTGGGTTTTTCAATGTTTACTTAGTTAACACATGTTTACTTCCCCTATACCTGCAATCCTTACCGCTGCCTTTCCAGTTCTAAGTGAAACTCCTAGATGAACACACCTGTAAGTCTCTAATTTTATTTTTCTCCTGTATATTTTGTAGAATTATACTCACATTTTCATTTATTATATATTACACTACAACAATTGTTAGCATCTATTTACTTTAGTTTAGGATCTTGTTACTCAGCTTACTTAGTCCATATTTTATTGTACTTACTGTTTATAATTCTAATAAGCTTGTTCACATTGTTTATAAATTATGTCTAAATATTATGTAATTGCCACAATTCTCTATCTTTTTGTATCTTGTCCGTTCTAGCCCTGATGAAGACCTGCAAAGTCGGGTTGAAACGTTGGCTTTCAATAAAATAGTTTTACCACTATTTAGCCTTTTTATGACCGCAACCCCGGACCATCTCCTTCCTTTATAAAGTTTTATGAAAAATAACAGAATCAGTTGTCAACACAAAAATTAATAATTTTTATGTTCTAATAAGTTTGATCAATTTTACTTCTAGTCATTGTGAAAGTCCCCCAAATCTTTTCTGTGCTTTATATATTTGACTTTATTTCCCATTGTTAGCAAACTGTAGGAAGTTCCTATCAAACTGACATTAATCTGATTTACATCTACGTTCAGTTTTAATGTTCTCCAATTAATTTGTATTGCCATTGTTAGTATCTCATCATTTATATTCTATTTTCCTCAAACGGGTATTTTCCAAGAAGGTATATGTGATTTTCTACATGTTATTTTCTACCTTTAAGTACATGTTTTGTCAGGTGTTCAGTGATCTTGTCTTTGTTTTTGCTGTGAGATGTTTATGTATAGTTTAATCATAATAAAACTACAAAATTCTATTTCCCTCAAATCACTGAAAAAAAGCAATGAAAACACATTTCTTGTAATCAGTAATGGATCTTGACCCTTAGGGCTGTGGGTGATATGATATTGCTAGATCCTCTTGTTAGAGAGGGTAATATGAAATAATTGTAAAATTTTGAGGAAAAAGGATTGCATTTTATTTTATTCCTTTTAAAAATTTTATATTTGACCTCAAAATTTTTACTTTTTAACTCAACTGAATGATCTCCTCCTCGTCAGTGATTTCTTTGTAATCTATAATGAAACAAATCATAAGTTGAATTAAATGTTTTTATTTATGTTCCTAATAAGCGTTTTATTTCCCTTATGTTCATGGTTTCTATTCATTTATGATCAGGTGCTACTATTTAGACTGATCTCTATGATGAGGTTTTTAATCATCATCATTAGAATCCTATCTTGAAGTGAATTGTAAAAAAAAAAAGTTTGTACTTTATTTATTTTTAATTTGTACCTCTAAAATCGTGCAAAATGAAAGAATGGCTGATATATTTAACTAACTCTTTTATCACTGATGGTAATGTTAGGAGGGTGGGGTTGGTGCTGTGACTGAGAGGTATGGGATTTGTCTACCCCAGGTGTGATGTCACATCTTGTCAACTTTTTATAGAATTATTTCTTTCTTTTTTTTATTTATAGTAATTTCCAATTCTTTTTTATGCAGACACACCACTGGAGGGACTAAGTCAGTCCCTCCAGAAATGACGTAGGCGAAACCCCTATAGAACATGACAAATTAATGTTCACTGAACATATTAATTAGAACATTAAGGATGAACATATTAGGAGGACTCATCAAGTTTTGTAAATGACCCTTAGTATGGTCGAAACGTTAAATTGATGCGTAATAATAAAATGTTGGTGAAAAATGGTCTAATTTATTGTAACAAATAAATACTGCTAAAGACTGTCGTGTGCATCGTGATAGATTAACATGTTATTCATGCAGGAAAATTGGACACATAGCCAAAGTATGTATTTCGACATTGCTACAAAATAATAATAATAAACAAAATAGATCTCATCCCAGTACGACTAAACAGATCGCTGATGTTCAAAATGAAAATGAAACTCTTTGTTACGGTATCAATAAAATTACCCCAAATCTTCCAGAACATTCACATGCGCAGGAAACTATTGATTTATTTGACATAGCTCGAGATCTTAGTAAATATTTTGTTACAGTAAAATTAAATGGTATGCCTCAGCGTTTTGAAATAGATTCAGGCGCTCGTTTCTCTTTGATCTCAGAATGATATTCGAAAATGGAATTTAAATGTTCCAGTTCAAGAGACAAATTTCATTTTTCATTCCTACTCCAACCATATAATAAAACCTTTGGGAAAGATTATTGTTGTCGTATCTTATAAAGACAAAACTATAAATGAAGAATTTTTTATTGTACCGCAAGGTCATGATGCTTTATTAAGTAGAGTATGGATAAGAAATCTTAATTTAGAATTAAAAGACATTGATGAAGAAATACAAACTTTAACCCAGTCAAACTTAGTTTACTCAATAAATTCGGTTGAAGATATTATCAAAGAATACGCTCCAGTGTTTTCACAAAAAGTAGGATGTATACCTAACTATGAACTTAAATTACAACTCTGACCTAATGTGAAACCAAGTTTTCCTTGAGAATGGGACGTTCCATATGCATTGCGTGAGAAAGTCGAAAAAGAACTTGAATCATTAGAAGCAGCAGGAATTATTACACCAGTAGCAACATGTGATTGGGGATCTCCTTTAGTAATTATTCCAAAACCAGATGGTTGAGTTTTTTTTTATGTGTAGATTATAAATGTGGAGTAAATGAACGATTGGTTTCCTCAAACCACTCTATACGAAGAATCGACGATGTACTACATAGTCTTTGCTGTTCAAAATACTTCTGTAAGCTAGATCTTCTTAAAGCTTACCTTCACTTAAAAGTAGATGAAAAAAGCAGCAAAATTCAGACAATGGTTACTTACAAAGGAACATACAAGGTGAATAGACTCAGTTTTGGTATTAAAACTGCTCCATCTTAATTTAATCGAGTGCTATGTAATATTTTACAAGGTCTTCCAAATACTGAAGCTTACTTCGATGACATCATAGTACACGAATTGACAGAAGAAGAATGTGCAAAAAACTTGAAAGCTTGTTTAAAAAGACTTTTAGAACACGATTTACATTTGAACAAAAACGAGTGCTTGTTTTTTAAACTGAAAATTGAATATCTCGAACATGTAGTTGAATATAATAAAATAAATAAATCTCCAGAAAAGGTTCGAGCCATGATGGAAATGCCATGTCCCTCCAACATCGATGAATTGAAACGTTTTCTTGGACTTGTCACTTATTATTCCCATTTTATACCTGATTTTTCTACACTCACATACGCTTTTCATTGTCTATTAAGGAAGAATCAACATTTTTTTTGGTCTGCTTTGTGTGAATTGACTTTTCTTAAATTAAAAACTGATATTTGCAGTGATCGTGTATTCACACCTTTTGATCCTTCTTTGCCCCTGTCTCTAACAACCGATGCCAGTCCTACTGAGATCATAGCAGTTCTCAGTCATGTAGGTGATGGTCAGGAAAAGCCGGTAGCTTACACATCAAGATCCCTCACAGCAGCAAAGTGTTATTATAGCCAGCTAGATCGCGAAGCTTTAGCCATTATTTTTGGAATAAATTATTTTTACAAGTACGTTTTTGGTAGAAATTTCACCTTTATTACGGACAACGAGCCTTTAACTAGGATATTCCATCACATCAAAGCACTCCCAAAAATGACATCTGCTTGACTTCTTTGTTATGCGTCATTCATGTCTGGTTTTGACTACACCGTTAAATTAAAGAAGGGCGAGCAAAACAAAAATGCTGATTGTTTATCTCGTGCACCTGTACCTCATTCAAATATTTCAACAGATCTTTTAATCAATGAAGAAGTAGCTCAGTTATATTCACAGACAATATTTCAAATATCTATTGAACAAATTACTTATGAAACTATAGCAAATGAAACTCTAGAAGATTCAGAACTTCAATTAATACTACGTCTCAGATCCCAGTCTACTGATGAACCATATACCATTTCAGACAGAATTTTATTTCACCAGGATCGCGTTGTTATCCCCAAAAAATTACAACCCATAGTACTTAATGAACTATATTCAATGCATACTGTTAGGTCTTCGGATCTCTACCCCTTCAGGGTGTAGACCTTTACCCAGATGGTCAGTGTATGAACCCATTTACGCCTTTTGGTCTTCAACAAACTGCATTTTTATTTCACTATATCCATTAACCTTTTATCCTATTCTCTTACTCCATGCAGGTTTCAATGCTGATCCGTCCGCTTGTATTCCTATATTCGTGGATATATACAATTGAATCAAACTGAATGACGAATGGATTATTTTAAGATCAATTTATTTTAGTGCCAAATTACAAAAAAAAAGATATATTTGCAAAATTGCAAGACCTAGAAGCTAACAAAGGAAGGAGGAGTGTGTCAGGATGTTCTAAGAAGGCAGCCACTCCACCTGACTCGGGGACAATAGGCTGATAATCTACTCCTCATAAAATGGCTAATCACCAAAACTCCTAAAAGCATTAAAGCCGGATTGTCTCAAAGGAATAAGATCTATTTTGTCTCTGTATTGACTAGGAGCCCTTCGGGCGCTCCTTAATATTGTTGATAATTACTAGACTGACATAGCAAGGATCCAGGAAGTCCACTGTGTGCTTTATTTTAGTCCTTCCCCTAGACAGGTTGCCTTTACTATTGCTATGAGTCCTGTCCACCCAGATTACAGTTTAACATCATGCCTGGGATGTCATATATATATATGTATTTACTAAAATATTTATTATCTAATTTTTAAAAACAAATATTACAAAAAAAAATTGTAAAACAAAAATTAGTGGGTTTCAGTACTGAATATTTTTACCTCTATTACATATCACAGACATCGTATAGGTCTATGCATTCCTCGGAATCTTTTGGATCAGCAGGCATAATTGATGTATTTGCTAAAATATAAACAATATCTTAATTTTCATAAAGAAACATTTAGTGAAAAAATTAATTTCCTGCTCTTTTTGCAAACTAATGTTGCATTCATAATTGGTTGTTCATAGATGCCTTGTGGGTTTCATCTTGTTTATTTTTTAGTCATTTTACTTCATTACTTGAATACTACATGTACTATCTGACTTTAATTTAAGTTTCCTATAATTATTGCTTATTTGTCCTTTGCTCAACCTGGACATTTGGGTTATCATACAATTCACTTTCCTTTAAGATATTGTCTATGTATGTGAGAGATCAGAACAGACATTAGTAGTATTATTTCTTAGTTTATATCATTAAAGTTTTGTGTTGTTTTAGGAAATAAAATTCTGTTATACCTTTGTTTCAGATTAGCTCAACAAAGATTTAAGCAAACTATTGTTATAGCACGTTATGGAGGTTACACCGAGGCAATCAAAAGAATGTTAGCTCAGTTACCGATCAGTGCTCAGTCTTATAGCAGTAGCCCTTATTTGGACTTGTCTCTTTTCAGTTATGATGACAAATGGGTTTCTGCAATGGAAAGACCAAAAGCATGTGGTGAACATCCAATAAGGTTGAAGTAATGCTATATAGTATAATACATTGTTTGATTTATTTAGTATGTATACCATTATTTTATGAAATAAATATATTACTAATAAATGTACCTTGATTTTGATTAAAATTAATTATCATTCACAATCAAATAAAACTTATACATGGATTTTAAGTTGGAAAAGTCTAGCATGATTCATAATATTTTTTAATTTTTTGTCAAGCATCTCGTAAACAAATAGCATTAATGAAAGAATATGTCGAAGTTATTTATTTATACTGTAGGATTTTTGGATTTCTTGGTTTGATGTACAGACTGTAGTTGGTTTGTCTTTTTTTGATTTGAGATGTGTTTTATGTGGTCTGCTTATATGTAATCTTAGTTGTTTCTATCCTGATAATACCTGAGTCATTAAAAATGTTGATGGGTTGATAATTTATTTGTATTTTAAAGATTGAAGGTTATTTGTTTGAAATTTTCAAACAATCATATATATGTATGTATATATATATATATATATATATATATATATATATACATTGCTAAAGCATCTTGTATTAATTCATGTAGTTTCTACCATCATATGATTTATAATGTTCTACCATCATTATAAGGTGGACACCTCTAATATGCAGGCAATTCCCCACACCTATGTTATATATAAAGGGCTGACTATACTTACAAATAATAAAATCTTAAATGAAGTACTCCACGTTTTTTTTTTTTTTTTTTTTGCATATTATATAATATCTTTAGTTCTTCAAAACATAAATTAACACCATTTACAGCTAGAACAAAATGCTATAATTGTTTTTCTCATCCACTTTTTCTCTATTTGTTCTAGTTTCATAAAAATTATTGTTCGAGTAAGTTTAACCAGAACATCCTATATCTAGACAAATTCATTTATGGTCACTCATGATACTAATGGGATTTGACCAGAATGAGTTTAATGTTAAATTATATATAAATTAAATACAAGATGAATGACTTTTGTGCATAATTCTTCATTTCACCCATTTTAAAAATTCATCTTTTTAAATTCATTAACAACTCATAAACTGTTAATATTTTGTTTCAATTAGAATTTACAGTGTGAACTGTTGGTCTTTGATACATCAAATTTTCAAAAATAAGAGTAAAATCAAGTCAAGGAATGCATTCGAAATCATGGAAATATTATCTTCAAAGATTTTTTTTAAAAGACATGGTATAGTGATTGATGAAATAGTAAGATATTTGTCATCATATATTGACTAACAATATCAAAATAATGTCCCTCCTTGTAAGTCAATTATTCAAGTTAATCCTCTTAATTTATTTTAATATTTGAAGATTAGATTAAATGAAGATTCTAACATGGTGTTTAAGGAAATTAATGAGTGATTCGACAAATTTAAATTGAGATATTCAATATTAAATTCAGTAGAGAATCAGCTGATGCAGATGAAGATGCTGGGAAATAATTTATTGTATAAGATTGTCTATTTTTTGTCCAAAATTATTGTACAACAAATGTTAATTTTTCCATTTCATCAATTTTACCCTACTGGACACGAATTACTTTGTAAATATTATGTTTTATTTATTTTTTAAATTTAAAAAATGATTAGTTTTTATTTCAATAATGACTCTTGAAATAATTTCTCCACATTCTTTTGAATTGAAATGAAAATATTTTTTATCATCCTGGGACTGTTGTCCCTTCAGAACAACTGAAAGGTACAGAGCAAATGCCCGTGTGACCATACATTAAATTAAATATTTACAAAATAATATCTAATTAAAATTAAAATATAGGAAGAAAAAGAAAACATACTGATATATATATAACATATATAACTTAGGAAAATATAATAGCATAAGTAAACAAAATAGTTTCTGGGGGAACTCAAGAAGTTCTCTTACATACATTTCGTGATCAATAGGGTTGGGAAAAGAGTAGATGCTTGAAAAGGAGAGATTTAAATGAGAAAACTGATTGTGCATGTCAGATATCGGAAGGGATAGTATTCCAAAAGGAGACAGCTTGAATTAGAAAGGATTTGTCAAATGTAGCAGTTCGGTAAGGAGGAGGATGATAGAGGTTAGAAGTACGGGATCTAGTGCGACAGGATTGAATGGAATATTTAAATTGTAGGCTGTGAACAATATAGGAGGGTCGCAAAGTTCTGATGCCTTGGTATAGAAAGGTAGCAAGGAAGTAGAGACAGTGGTTGGATGAATAGAGCTACTTCAACTCGGTGTAATACTGGATTATATGCATATCTCTTGAGATTATGAAAACAAAACGTATTGAGCAATTCATTAGGCGTTTAAGTTTGGCTTCGTAATCTCCCGAGACCACTGTACACCATACAGCCATAGTCAAAGTGAAAAAAAGCAATAAAGGAAACTAGGAGTTGATGGGATTTATATGGAAGGAGATAGCGTAGACTGTTGTACTGTTTCTGGGTAGACACATAGGGGGATGTTTGGTTTCCAAGAGAGGGTTTGGTCAAAATTAACATCCAATTTTTTAATGAAAGTATGGAATAAGATAGGTGAGTTGTTCAGGAGAAGATTGGAGGTACCGGGAAGGATTTGAGGAGTGAGGGGCATCAGAAGAATCAGTCGGATTATAGGAGAGATGAATTTGGATGTCATGTGGAAAAAAATTAAGTGATCAGGATTAAAAGAGGAATACATTGGAGCCTGACTGGATGCAGGGGATGAGGTTATGAAAGGGCAGGAGACAAAGTGAGCATTGAGGTTATCAGCAGAAACGGAAATGGACTGGGACTGAGGTGTATTACCAATGGTCAGTTTTCTAAGAATAACCCATGTGGCCTTGGTATTAGGGGAATTGGATTAGGAATGATGGTAATAACGGGATTTGGCACGGCATACTGAAGATTGAGTGCTGTTTGAAAGCGAGAAAATCTTCAGTAAGTCGAGTTCGTTTAAACCATCACCTTGCAGTATCTCTTTCAAAGCAGGAGTCAGCCAAGTCATCAGTCAAAAGGAGGATGGAGTGAAGATAAAAAAAATACATCTACATATTTATTAGTGTAAATTTACTGGCTACTTAGTACCTGGAACATCAAAAAAAAAAGAAAATAAAGTTAAATTTCGTCAAACGTTGTTCAGGACCCTTCTCGTAATAACTGGTAAAAATTTCCGAAGATTCCCTGGTCGAGTTTTCATGTGGGAATAGGAAGAAGGACCATAACTAATTTTGTTTTATAATTTTTTGTGAATAGCTCATCAACTATGAAGTTTGACACAAATATCATTTTGTATAAAATTAAAGTACTTCAAAATCGTAAAAATAAAAACGTAAAACAATAAAAATTGTTTAATACATTTCCTTGATAAAATTAATGGTTACGGAAGTATTAATGGGACAAAATTAATAGAATTACACTTACAGTAAAAAATTGTTCAACCATTATAAAATCGCTATGTCCGATAGACATAATATCGATTCAAGGTTTAATTTATTTGTTTAACATTTCCAAGTGTTTAAAAACATATTATAATTAAATTCTCTTTTTTTTTTTAATGATTTTATTGACAATAATACATTATCGAGACTCAAGAAAATAAATAGAAGCAATATTAATTGCCAATTAGCCTTATATATCTTCAAATGCACTTTATTTGATAATTAATATCTTTCCGCGTTTCATTCTAGAAAATTAATTTTCTATTCCTGTAAATCTTACCCCATTCTCCAGCCCACCACCGAAACCTGACGCTGATTTATACAATGTTTATACTAATTTTATAAACAATAATTTAATTGAAAGCCAATAGCAATTTTAGCATTACTACTTCTAAAAATATTCTTTAATTATTTATATCGTATGTTATTTCATTTTGAGTTTCTACAATTTATTATTGGTTTTTAGAATTATTAAAACAAAGTGAATTTGATAAAACAACTAACACTTCCATATTTTATTTATTTATTTATTTTTTTTTTGTTTCGTTCATTTAATAATGAATTATAAGAACATTGGTTATGTTATTGACTGTACTGACTGGGGATTAAAATATCGTTAATATGTATAGTTTGTCAACATTTTAGTTGTTATATTTGCTTCTATTAATTTAGATCACATTTAATTGCTTATGCATTAGCTTTCTTAGATAATTTTTTTTAAGTTGCTTTTGTTAAAATAAAACTGAAATCAATCATCAGCTATTCTTTTAACTTTGTAATATTAATTTGCTGTTAAATTCTTAATTATGGAGTGCTTTTTGTGTGAAAAGTCCTAATTTCAAAAAAAAAAAAAGAGGTTGCAAAGGAATTTTTAACAGAAATATGGCTTTCATCGATCTAACATTGTATATGGTTAGAGCTCGTCCCTCCCCCCGATTATTAATTTAAAAAAATAACAAGTGGGACTAGTGTTCCTTTTTGCCAACCCCTGATGGCTACCTTGTTAATTGCCTGGTAATAGATTACGCTACTTAATAATAGCTGTTTTCACATTATTACTTATACTCATATTTTAACTTATATTATTATTCATGTTTCTAGTATTATTTATGTAAATATCTTTTATGTTTAGATTTTATTCAAGAGAATCTGGATCACTTCACTTTAAAATTTATGCGGGTTTAATTGGTAGAAGTGTGCCTCCTGCTTCACGAAGACTAGTGGCATTTACATTTCATCCTTCAGAACCTTTTGCTATCAGTGTACAGAGGACTAATTCTGATTATATAGTTAATTTTCATGTCAGGCTTGATCAGTGAATTTTCATGCGCAGGTAGTTTTTTTTTTTTTTATTTAAAAGTTTTAAAAAATTAAGTCATTGATTTCCTGCCATTAGTGTTTTCTTTCATTCACAGATTTTATAAAATGGTGTGGAATTGAGATATCTATGTCTGTACTTCAAGTTTTCCAAAAAATAAATAAATAAAATAATAATATAAGAAAAATAATAAATGATTTTTTTTCATTGGTGTCACATTTTGCCAAACATAATTTTTGTTTATCCTTGTTATCATGTTTTCTGTTGATTAATTTATCTTCATAAACTTTAGTTTTTATTTTTGTTGTTGAATTTTCATTATTATGTTTTTTTGTTTGACAATTAATCTTTATGATTTATTTTTCATTGTTGATAACAAGTAGCAATAAATTGTTAAGATTTTTTTTTAATCGGTTTTACATATCAATTGTGAATATTATAGTTTTCTGATAAACTAGACTGTCATCTTGGACCCTTTAAATCCTCTCTTCTCATTTTTTTTTTACCTTGTTTTACTCTATAATACTTATATATTTAAATATAATATGAATTTTCCATCTACCCAAGGGTTTTAGTTAGTAAAAATTTAAATTGCTGGTTTAGCATTTATATTCTTAGTATAATTTGAAGAAAAAAGTCTTGATGTGTAATTTAAAATTATATACATTACATATTTATATGATAATCAAGTACATCCCTAAAAACTTTTGTTGCTAATTTATATTTTATTCATGATCAGTGCCTAAATTATATGAGTATTTTCTACTTGTTATGTAAATCTTGTAATATAAGGAAAAATAATTATGTTATTTGTACAGATAGGTACATGTATATAATATATAAATTTTGTTCAAAAAATTTTTTCAAAACTATTTTAAATATAATTTTTGAAACAATTTTGTGATTTTATTTATTTATTTTTGTTTACCAAAAATGTATAATATTGATAAATTTATGTTTCATTTATATGATGCTATTTTTTACATTAAAATAATATTTATTAGTAATATAAATATTATTAATATTCATATTATTAACAAAGAAATGCCATAAAATATTGTAATTGATTGAAATAACTGGCAGTGAATATATTACATTGCATTTAAACAAATATTTTATATAGCCTAATAGTAATGTGTGGTGGTAAGATTAATAAACATTACACTCTTACAAGAATAAATTTCTATTAGCATAGTTGTTTTTTGTTATGATATTTTGGAATTGAGACTAATCAGTTTTCACAAAAAACAGAATAGCATCACTTGAGATATATATATTCATTTTAAAAATTAATGAGCATTGGAATGATGTAGATAGTATGCCAATAACTATTATATCTTCTATGTGATTTGAACTTTAATTTTTGGTCAGTGTAATGCAGGAAATGTGTTTATAAACTAGTTTAATTTTCTGAGGAAACTGTATTCTATCACCTTTAACAAAATGGAATACTATATTAATATTTAATGTCATTTTCATATTACCATTTTTTATATCAGTACACTGTGTTGGACAGTGACACATTGTACACACTCGTTTAATTAGTAACTGTTTTTTTATAAATAAGAATAATCTAACTGTTATTACTTTCATTTACTTATATATGAAATATATAATAAGGGAAAGTATTGCAGTCTTGAAAATTTTCGGATCTGAGTTTTCAACAGAAATACATATTTTGAGGTCTCCTGAGCCCAAATAACCATGTCCCGGAAAATGGTCTGTGTGTGTGAACAGACTAGCTCAAAAATGAAAAGTTTTATGAGAATGAAATTTCATATTTAAGGTTTGCATATACCTAGGATATTACTGCAACTTTTTCGTCAAAATCAGCTAACTGGAACTGGCACGTTATATAATCGATTTTATACATTTTTATGATTTTCTCGAAAATGGCTTTAACAATTTTGATTAAATTCAGTACATCAGTGCAAAATTAACCAGTTTTTAATATAATGTAGGTTTTATTCTCATTGATATTCTCTAACAGGGCTTGAATGGCTAATTTTCAATATTTCTTCCTCTAAAGCATCTTTAATTTTTTTATTTAAAATAATTAACCATTTCATAATTAACTCTGATATAAGATATAATAAACTATAAAATATTAAAGAATTTTATGAGTAACTAAAGGAGAAATAAGATATCTTAATAATTTTCCATTTTAAACTAAGATTTTTCCAAATCAATTTAAGAATTTTTATGACACAAAATGGACGGGGTGTTTTAGTTTTCTTATTAAATTCCTTAGACATAGTACCTATTATGAATAATAAGGTTAGGCATTCTAGAATTTAAAGACCAATTTTAGAAAATTTCATATGAAAGTTAAAAATTTTTATAAGTAAAAATCAAAATGGGTTATAGAAAATATCTATACAATTATTTTTTTATTAGAAACATTAATTATTGTGAACTAGCATGAAGATAAGTTCTGTAATGGTCAATTAATAGTTTAGTGAAGTGGACCTTCTGGGCAGAGATAGGCAAGTGTTTCTATTTACTTATAGAAAATTTTAACTTTAATTCAAATATTTCTAAAATTGGTCTTTAAATGCTATAATGCCTAACCTTATTATTTATAATAGATACTATGTCTAAGGAATTGATGAGAAAACTAAAATACCCCATCCATTTTGTCATAAATTCTTAAATTGACTTGGAAAAATCTTATTTTGAAAATATCTCAATTTAGTTTGAAAAATTCTATATTAGGTTTAGAAATTTCTAAATTAGGCTTGGAAATGCTATATAATACATCAGAGAGATATGAAAAACATCTGGTAATTAATTGTTTTAAATAATGTTTGATACCATCTTTAAGTTTAAACTTATTTACTTTAAAGTTAATTTACTTTCACTTTGCTTTTTCTAAAAATAATTATTTCTGCTAAGAAGAGGGTGGTAAGTGAAAGTTGTGTGATGTGCACAACACATCAGATTTTTAAAAAATTATATTCAATTACCCACATGTTTTAAAAATATCATTTATTGTTCACAACATTTGTAATAATTATATTTGATTTGTTTTTATTAAAATCTTTATTGATAGTTGCTGTGCGCTTAATCATTAATACATAACAGATTATAGGCCCAGGTATAATCAGATGGTTTTAATGTGTATGTGATCGTTTTCCATCATTCGGATTTCGGTATTTTACCATCCTACCGCTGAAATGGTTGCATTCAGCAACTACAAAATTGAACCCCTTCTTAAAGACAACTAGAGCCATTCAAGTTCAGGCAATCCTTATCAGTAATAACTTAAGGCCAGGAATAAATATGTGTCACGAGACAACCTAACTAATACCCTATTCCTGCCCGAGCTCATAACGAACTTATCATTCAGTAAAATTATCGAAAAAGGCTATAGTGTGACATTGCACTTATAAAATATTTCAAGGGAAATGCTGTTCTAGTTGCCCCCTGAATAAATAATCTTTATTACGGTTCGACCAAAAACGAGGCAAAATTTCAAAATTTTCTACTACTCATATACAAGTTGAATTTACATTCAGAATTTTGTATATATATATATATATATATATATATATATATTATTGAGTATCATATTGTAATTTGCCTTGTATAAATAACAAGCCCCCCCCCCTGGTTTCATTCTGTCCTAATCCCTCTCTAAGACAGCGTTATCTACGTCTAAGGGTTAGATGCTTGAAGACGAAGCACTCACCCCACTTGCTCAGCCTACTTCAGGGAAGACAGCCAGCGGCTAGCCTGAATGCCCATTTACTCTACCTAATACACGGGCCCACGGCTAATGGAGAGAGAGAATTACAGCCCTTCGGCTACACATTAGCTGGACACCAGCTCCAACCCATTGGACGAGCGGCGGTATCGAGAAAGAGAGCGAGGGGACGGACCACAAGTGCAAGACCGGCCCCTCATCAAATTGTATGCTGAAATTGTTATTATTAATTAACCCACTAAAACTGGTTGTCCCTTCGGAGACATTGATTGGAAAAATGAAATAAAAGGACATTAACAAAATAAGTGGTGACATCATTCACAAATATTCCTCCATCGAACTTTTCATTTTTTTAATATCACAAGAACAGGGCTCCCAGTAATGCCTATAGTAAATTTATGAGACATTTAAATGAACTTTTATTGAAATGTGGATTAAAAAATTAAACAGTAAAGAATCTAAAATTTAATTCATCTGAAAAACTTAATGATTGTGACATTTGTATCAAAGAAAAATTAACTCGTCCTCCTTTTCCTCACCGCGAAGAAACTAAAAATTTAGAAATCGTTCAACCGGACGTTGTGGGACAGATGCGGACACTGAGTCATGGCGGTGCAATATATTTTGTCACTTTTATCGACGAAGCCAGTCTATATACTCAACTCTACTTCATGAAAGGTAAAAATAAATTTTGAAAAATTTAAAGAATTAAAAAATAAACCCGAAAATTTTATCGGAAAAGAATTAATTTCTTACAAAGCGATATTGACGTAGCTTAGTACACAAATAATGATTTTCATACATTTTAAAATAAATTCGGGATAAAATGAAGATTATCAACTCCTAAAACACTGCAACAAAATGGCTTGGGCGAAAGGAAAAATCCATCATTACTTGATAAATATCGTTTACTATTAGAGTAAAATTATGAAGATTCTTTTTGGACTGAAGCAATTTTTTGTGCAAACCATATCATAAATAGATCTTCTACAAAGGTTAAATTGCTGCACTCCTTTTTAAAAAATGGTTTGGTCATGACCTCTCTGTAAACTATTTTCGGATCAAAGGCATTTTTTTTAAACAGAAACCCAAGGAAATCAAAATTTGATGATCGAGCTAAAATTGGAATATTTGTTAGATATGTAGCTCTCTCAAAGCCTACAGAATATGGGATCCTTTTCAGAAGAAAGTAGTTATAACCAGAGATGATAAAATAATTTGTCGAAGTATATTGTGTAAAATATGCAGTTACCAGAAGGCCTCGACAGAGCGTGTTCATTTGAGGTTAAGATGACTGAGTGGATGGATGAAGATGAGTAGAAGGATGACCTAAAGTGTCAAGCGGATCAGCACCCAAATCACTCTCGGTCTGCGGTGTAAGGGATTAACCTTAACATCCGCAGGGATGGCAACCGCAAACGGAGGGATCAATCTCCTGACTTAGTATATAGGGATACAAATGGACAGATCAGCATCCGGACTTGTATGCAGTGAGAGAAGAGGATAATAGGTTACCAGACATGGTGAAATAATAAGGCAGAATGCTGAGAACAAAAAGTGTATATGAGACATATACTGATCATCTGCTTATAAGGTCTACACCCCGAAGGGCGGAAACTGTAGGACCTATATTTTAACTTCCAGAAAGGAATGCGGTAATTATTCCCCTTGACTAAAAATGGCCATCAATAGCCATTACAATTACAGTTATTTTTAAGCTTTGATCAGTATATGTTATCGCCATTAAACTTTATTAATAAAAAGTATTTACAATGTATATACATATTTCACTTTACAATTTGAGTATTTTATCATATAAAAATAAGAAATAAAAAATAAATTTTTTTGGTACATTGCACGTACCCAGGTACGTGCAGGTGCCAGGTGCCAGGTAGCGGGCAGGTGAACTAGTTTTGCTAGTAACAAGTTGCGGGAACCGCCACAACTTAATCGATTTTATAAAGCCAACAAATACGAAAATACAGCAATAACAATTCTGATTGCAGAAGATAACAACTGCACTATTCTGTTTGAAATA